TGACCATTAATCACAAAATGTGACTTTATTATCTTTATTTAATAAATATTTTTAATTAATTAAATAAATACCTGATTTTTGAATTTTTAAACTATTTACCTTATTTTTGAATTGAGGTAAAAAAATAAACCTTAAATATGATTTTTTTTTCCCATGTGGAAATTACACAATTCCCTATTTTTTAAGATCTATATTCTAAAATCATATTTGAAGTTTTAATTAGATAAATTATAATTATATGTATTATAATTACATAATATAATTACCTAACAATACACAATATAATTACCCAACAATACACACCAAAACCCTAATTATTTCATTTTTTCATTAACTCTCTTCTCTCTCTATAATCGTATCTCTCTTCTCTCTTGATCCCACTCTCTCTCTTCTCTGACCCACCGTCACAACTATACAAGAATGCGTTAGAGATCCCGTGGCGATCTATTGGTGGTGATCTTCATGAATCCAGTATCAAACTCTCTCGTTGCCTTGGATCCTGAGATCCACGATCTCGTCAAGAAGGTGAAGCACTGCAAGTGCCGCGGCATCGAGCTGATTGCATCCGAAAATTTCACTTCCTTTGCCGTCATTGAAGCCTTTAGTAGCGCCCTCCCCTTCTCCTTCTTCCGCGACGTGTAGCTGTGTAAATGGTGTTTGCCCGGTGGTGGTGCAGTGTGGGTGTGGCAGTGGATTTGTGGCGAGGTGGTGGTTGGGTGTAGTGTAAATGGAGATAGAGAAGATGGTGGTGGTCGTGTGCGGTGCGGTGCGATGCGATGCGCGGCGGTATGTGGTGTTGGTGGATCTATGCAGTGTGGGCGTGGTGGTGGTCTTATGTGGTAGTGGTGAATTTGTGCGGTGTGGAGTTGGTGGTGGTGTGCGGTGGTGGTGCAGTGTGGTCGTGGCAGTGGATCTGTGTTGAGGTGGTGGTTAGGTATAGTGTAAATGGAGATAGAGAAGATGGTGGTGGTGGTGGTGTGTCGTGGGTGGTGCGGTGGTGGTGGATCTGAGCGATGTGCGATGGTGGATCTATGTGATGTGCGGTGGGTGTCGGGCGTGCAGGCAATATGGGGTTGGAGTGACTGTGATTATTTTGTGGGCGTAATCGAGTGTGACCAATTAAAATTGTGACTGTGAATCACTGTGATCGAGTTGTAACCAATAAAAGTTTTGACATATTGTTAAATTGTGACCTTAAAATTCGATAATTTGCGACCAATAAAAAACTTTGTGACTTGTAACCGAAAAATATTACGCGACCTATTATTTTAAAAATTTGTGACCTAGGCCACAAATCAATATAAATGGGTCACAGATCAGTATGATCAATTAATTTGATAGTTAACTGTGGCTAATTAATTTGTCGTTAAGATCTCAGATCATTGTCACAGGTTTGAGTTCACAAGTCACGGTGAATTTTTATAGGTCATAAATCAATATAAATATGTCACAAATCAATATTAACATGTCACACGTGTTTATAGAGTCACAGTTCAAATTTACAGTCAAATTTTATATTACTAGTCACAAGCAACAATCAAGAAGTCAAAAATCATGTCAACTGTACAAAAAATAAATAAAT